TATCTGGTAGCTAAGTGAGGTTATCTGAACATGACCTAGCTCTGCTCCAGTGGCTGGGAATGGTAGAATTCCAATTCATTTCCAAGGCAGCACAGTGAGGTCAACACTAGCTGCACCTGGCTTTTCTGCTCAGGAATGGTTACTATACATTCAATGTATATTATCTTGGATGAATACTGGGTGAATATTGAAAGCCTGAAATGATTGCTAGTCATCTGGCATTTATCAGAGACCTTTGAAATAAGTTGTATAAGTCTCAGGTGCACATGATATTTATTTTACATGTTAAATGATTAGTAAACTGCAAAAGCTAGTCCTCAGTAGGTAAGAAATGTCAGGAGCAATGTGGCCTTTGCAGTAAGACCTGGTGTTGCATACTGAACAGCAAGGACAGGAAGGTATTGAACAGGTGATGATTAACTGTGCGCACTGTGTCTGCGGCACTGAACGAAGAAGGGTCTCTGAGGTATACGAAGTAAAATACACAGGTAGTAGTACTGGCAATTCCTGGCTTCTGAGTGCTCAGGTTCACAATCTGCATTGCTGTTTGAGTGAAATTGATACTGTTTGGGGAAAAAGACTGAGACAAGACAAAAGAGAACGTTCATCACGGTGCATCAGAGAGACACCCATGTGGGTCATCAACAGGGCCAGAATCTGTTCAAGTCTCCTGCTGAGACATCCCGAGCTAACAGTCAGTAGCACTCACGGCAGTGTATCAGCCTTAATGTCAGCCCTACACCTACCATCATGGCAGTTCCTGTTGTTCTTGCTTTCCAATCCGAGCACTAATTTTAGGAGAGGTAATCCCATGCATCCCCTGTCATGCATTAACCCCATGGCCAGGCTTTAAGGCATCACAGCTTGTGCTGTCGCTGTGTGTTAGGAGTATGAACCCAAGTTCGGCTACTGAATCAGTCTCTTTAGGGGTAATGAGGTGCCTCTAAAGAAGCACAGATGAACCCCTGAATTTACAATAGCAGAACCTGTGTACATTTCCTGGAGAAAACATAGGTGGAGTCATGGTTTAAATGGGGATTTCTGGATCACACCCTTGCCTGCAGGATCTTAAATGCAGCCCATTATGCTCAGGGAGTTCTAAGAGGAAAGAACATTATCCTACATTTACATGATGCAAAGAAGCATTGTGCAGAACTACCAGCAAATGAACCAGGTCAGGAATCAGTGCAGCTGTGCAAGCATGGCCCCATACCATGGCCAATTTACAGGGATGAAAAGGGGGAACTAATTTGTTCAGTTAGAAAGGAGGTGTGCTCTGCAGACTTAGGACTAACTTGAGGAGTAAAACATTGCACCAATGACTGTGTTATGGAGGTGGTACATGAAACACCCTGGATGACCAGTAAAACTCTAAAATTTACTTGCATGTGTGCTAATGAGTGCCATGTCCTATGTGGCAAACTGACATCTTTCAAAGGCTTGTAACATTATCAGTTTCAGGCACATTTTATAAAGGGTCTGGAAACCACATCATTAATTCAATAGTGACTCACTGTCAAATTCCGAGTCCTTGTTTCAAAGCATGAAGGTAGCAAATGCATTTTCTCAAGTATTTTCTTTGATGGACAAGAAACAAGAAAAGCATAGTTTTCATGCTTTGTTCTTGGAATGGCTGAAATATTTTTATGAGAGTTTTTTCAAAATAATTTTGCTTGCTACTCCACATGGAATATGCTAACCCAAATGGTTAAAATATGGAGAAATTATATACCCACTGAAAACTCCTATAATAGTAACCATTAAGCAACACTACTAGGTGTTATTTTCTGCATCACTATAGTCATGTGTCAGGTAAAACATTTCAGCCAGAGAGACAAGATTTTAAAAATTCTTACAGCTGTGCTGTGAGGTATTGTAAAAATAGTTACAACTAAAACATCCTTCCTTGTGATCACAGACTTTGTTAGAGAATACCAAACACTGCTGGAAAAACAGAGCCATGAGAAAAGTGATCTGCTTGATATGTGTGTTCTCATATAGAAATAAATTGAAGGCAATACCACCTATGCAGCAGTGACAAGTTAATTCAATTTCCATCTCAAAATCAGGTAAAGTGTATCTCATTTGTTACCATGGATACAAGACATTATTTCCATTTGTTTGAGATCTCACAGTAGGTATGAAATTAAACTGTGACACAGTTTTATGGAGGAAGTTGACTAAAACCCCCATAAGTTCAATGCCATTAGTCTAAAGGATTTTCTTTTTTAGGCACACTAAATAAGCAGGGTGCTACTACTGCCCATAAGATATACTTCAGAAGCAAACAACTGTGTGATTTTGCTGATGCTACTTCGCATCATTAGGAGTGATGGAAGAGAAAATAAAAATTCATTTCATCAGTCCTGGAAATGTGGGAAAGAATCCTGAAAAATGTCCAGATGGTAGAATTACATTAAAAATATATTGATGTTGTGTTATTTGCTATTGTTTGGCACCAAATATGTTTCCAAAAAAATGTCTTGGTTCTGAAAACGCATTCACTTTTTCTCAGATAAATCTTCTTTTCAGGCTGCAGTGCAAATTTATTCTCTAGTTTTCAAAGTTAGAAGAAGAAGAGGTGTATGAAAAAGTAGGGGAGGATGAAAAAGAAAAGGAGGCGGCATACAGTCTTTTAATGCTGACATATATGTAGGGTTCAGGAATTCAATGGCATTCAGTTTACCTTGTCTGAAATGAATTTTAATATATACAAAAGGATAAAAGGGAATACAGGTCTTCTTGTTAAATTATTACTACTCAAGTCTTGGCTATATGTTTAATATTTCATAAAGAGACTGATTTCCATAGATGCTGAGCACCTGCTATACTGATGGATTTCAGCTAAGGTTGTCATCTCTCAACATTTACAAACCCAAGCTGAGATAAAACAGAGTCTACCTAAATCAAAGGTTTACTTCTAAATATTCATGCATGAACTGCATGAAAAACACAAAGGTTATGGGATATCATGACTATGGCTAATCTTTGAAAACCAAAGCCATCATCCAGTTGCTTAATTGACTGATAATTTCCTAACATGAGTTCGGAACTCTACCTCCTGTGCTTCTGTGCTGCTGCCCTCCTCAGTGTATTGTCAGACTGGATTATCTGCAATGTCTCCTCCAGTTCCTTGGGCCATCTCTAATTATATCCCATTGGGAGTTAGTAGGTGTGACCCCGAGATGGCAAACTAGACAAAATCAGTACCTCACAGCAAAATTGTCAGAAACATAAAAACTCTCAGAGGAATAAGGACTAGAGTGTCCATTGCTAACTGAATGGAGAGGTAAGTCTGTCTCTGTTACTGACTTACATTATGAACATTTGATTGAAATTACAAGAGAAACATATTTATATGCCACAGATTCCATTATCCTTCATCCAAACCCCAGGTAGGAAAATATAATAATGCAAAATGAGCGTTAGGGCTCTAGCATTTTGATTTATTAGCATTTTGTGCCCATTTTTCACTAATTTTAATGGAGAATTAGCACCAGGCTGAAATTTAGCACAATATTTATATATGCAGTTAAATTTAATGAAGCCAGTGATATTTAAGTATCCATTTATTTAAGACCATGAATAGATTTCAAGCATATCTAAAGTATACTTTAGATATGTATTTAACCCTAAATATTTCTGACTAATTGCTTTATTCCTAAATTCAGGAAAGATTTTATTCCTGAATTATCAATGACTTATTTGCTATTTTCCAAATATTTTCTTCAGAATTATTCCATAAATCACCCTAATTTCTTGAAACTCCGCAGCCTTAAAGAAGCTTATGTTCATATAAGCACACATACAGGATTGTCTTATGCACTGTTATTTAGTGTTAGGCAGGACTTGCAGACTCGTATTCGACGGGTACTGTGATAGTCATGCGGTTGCTAATCCAACCAGGCAGCTCATATGTAAATGTATGCCTCGTGGTTTTTTTCTCATAAAAAAACAATCTGGTACAATCTGGAAGTGGGTATAACTTGTCCTCTCTGGAATCTAACAACCAGGAGTGATAGAGGAGCTCACACATTACTTCAGGGCACAGAGGAAGGAGCAAAATTAACCTCTGCAGTGACATCTCGAGAAGCTCCATTCTAGATGGGAGCCCAATCCAGTGTCGTGGTGAGCCACTGTCCTTGCATTCTGTCATGTATCATCAGCTGAATACAAGCTGATGTTTGTATTCATGTACAATGCCCGGGCAGGAAAGAGGCTATACATATGCATGTTGAATGAGGGGTTCCTGTGTGTTAGTGGACATGTCAGACAAAGCAGTGGGAGCAGTCTGGATGTGTGTGCCAAGACTTGCCCAGCACAATGTGAGGAGCACACTAACAAATAAGGGAGAATGCTTACGATAAACAGATCCCCTCTGGGGCACACTGCAGTTTCTTGTTGACTGATGTCAGAGAAAGTTTTTTTGATGTACTAAACCACTTAAAATTTTGCCTGAATGAAAAGGTTATATCCATGGGTCAGCATAAATGTGAATATTTCAGGAGATAGCACTGATGATGCTATCCACTCGCAAGTTAACAGGAGGGTAGTCCAGACAAGCTGGAGGTGTCTCAGTTGTGCTCAAACAGAAGTAGAAAAAAAGACAAAGCTGAGAAGCAGAAATGCAAATGAATGCAAATGAAGACACCACAGAACATAGGCAGGCCAAAATTTCTTGACCATTTGTGTAGAATTAGGGACAATTGGATTGAGTGAGGAGAGCAATAGAGGATGTACTGAAGCAAATTGCTCCTAAATAGAACACACATAAGGAGCTTCTTTGAATGACCAATGGGTTTACAGTTAGTTAATTCCTAAAATGACTATCCTTAAATATTTTCGTCCTCTCCTTTCCCCATCTAAAGTCCAAAAGGTTTTGACTCCAAAAAGTAATCAGGAACTTCAGGGGTAACAGTCTTGAGTACAGCACAGCCCCATGGTACTACTTTCCTAAAAAAGGAAGACCCTTTGGAAGTGTTTTTCTTCCATAGCAATACCTGCTGCATGCCTTGCATTGTCTGCTGCAGGAACTGCAGCTGCTGGTCCTTCGTAAGGCTTTCTTCCGTTCGAAAGAGCTGTCCTTTCTCCTGTTTCAAAAGCTCCACTTCATTCCTATAAGCATCCAGCTGCCATCGAAGACTATCATTCTCTTCCTTTAGCGCATACGCTTGGGCGGCTAGAGCTAAGAGAAAATGAAAATGTGAAGAAATCAGTAAAAAGGACTGTTTCCTTACAAATAATGCAGGGGACATTGTCAAGGGAGATGACAATACCGCTGAAAGCCAGTGAGACATTTCGGAGCTGAGACAAGACCCAGCAGAGCTGAAAATGATTAGGTTCTGGCAAAGACTGTTGCTGGGAAGTTATTTCCTGGGATGGAAGAAGACATAAAGCGACCCTGGATAATTCAAACACTCCTTGCAAGCTGGCTGCTAAATTTAGGCTTATATTTTTAGGAAGAAACTGGCATGCAGTCCAAGGGCAAAGCATCCACCAACTTTACAACATTTTCCCAGTGATGTTACAGGAGCTGATACAACCGTTTAATGACTATACTAGTGTAGCAGCCAGATGTTCCAGTCAGGTCTGTGCTAAGGAATGTTGACTACGTGAAGTTGCTGGATTTAATCCCATGAGAGAGGAAACACAGAAATTTCTCTCCAGTCTTGCTATGAACTACTTCGTAGTAATGGTTATGAGGGAGCATTTAGACAGAAAAATGATGTAATAGAGTAAAATTATATAAAATGCAAATGCTCAAAAAAAGTGTTGGCACTACAAGAACATTACTACATTAAAGGCACTGAAAGACACTTAAGTCATTTCCTTAGGAAGCTCCATTTGGCCCCTTTTCAATTTAGAATGGCATTTTTATTATCATAACTGATAGCAGGTGTTTGTGAAGAAATCGATTAGTATGCAGGGATGGAAATTACATTTGCCAAATGACTTGCACAGTCTGCAATATAAGCTAAAATTTGTGTAGCAAAAGGCAGAAGGCTATAAAGCATGTGCTAGGAACATTATTTAAATAAATTATCTGAACATAAATAAATAAAGGGAAGTGTGGCATTCACTACTTTTGGGATGTGGTTATCATCCTATAGAAGAGCCCTCTCTTCGTAGTATGTATACTTGGCAGTAGCAGTGGTCATTTGGCAGAGCAAACTGCCATACTATACTATTTTCCTTCTTGGAACCTGGTAACACAACATTACAGAGCAGCTGTAATTAAAAAACAACAATCTACCATAGCCAATTCTATCAACATTTAGTAATTGAAGCACATAACTGATTTATATTCCTGATTAAATGATTTCAGGCTTGATATCACAGAATTCTTCCTTGCCCACCTACAGTGGCAATATGGTTAAACTCCAAATTATAGGAAATTGTATATTAACTCCATTTAACGTTAGGCCACTCTTGACTAGACCTTGCACAGATAAAGAGTCCCCCGTTTCCCATGATAACATGATTCAACACATTGGTGAAATTATATCAGCACTTAGAATGTCACAATATTTCATTATCAAGAAAAATGTTGTATCATTGGTAGGACAAATCTACCTTTTTCTCAAATAATTTTTACTAATTTTAAAATAGTATAAATATGTTATCCAAAATAAAGTACAGTTAGCTACTATTCAAATGCAGGCATGGATTGGTTATTGCACTTAATTTGGATATTCTACAGAATCTCTCTGGAAGATTTAGCAACAGTTAGAGTATTGTTACATCAAATTAAATTGTTCTGAAAAGCATGTAATCATCCTTCCATGACAAATTTTACCCTCAAGAAATTGCAATGATGAGTCCAATGGGCAAATAAGAGGATGAAATCCTTTTTTAAATTATTTTTTGTAAGAGTCAACAAGCTATAATAAAAGAAAAAAGAAAAAAAAAAGAGGCCAAGCAAATAAAAAACCTCAGGCTAACAAAACCTCAGGTAAAAATTAAATGCTTTGGGTTTGAAGGGACCTCTAAAGATCATCTAGTCCAACACCCTTGCCATGGGCAGGGACATCTTTCACCAGCTCAGGTTGGTCAAAGCCCCATCCAACCTGACCTTGAATGTTTCCAGGGGTGAGGCATCTACCACCTTTCTGGGCAACCTGTGCCAGTGTCTCACCACCCTCATCATAAAGAATTTCTTCCTTATGTCCAATATAAACTTACACTCTTGCAATTTAAAAACATTGCCCTTTGTCCTGTCACTACAGGGCTTTGTAAAAAGTCTCTGTCTCATTTGTATTCTCTTACTCTTACCAATTAGACTCTCCCACAGTTTAAAATTTTAAAAAAAAAAAAAAAAAAAAAAAAAAAATTACATGCATACTCAGTTCCAGCCAGAAACTGTCTTCTGCTCTCTGAGAGCATGAAAGGAGACCATCATGGCAACACTCAAGTTTTTATGGTGGCTTGGGAGCAGTAATTTATCTGCTGTCCATCGCCTAATCCAGCTCTATAAAAAAACTTCTGAGAGCTGCTGTATAAGTTAAATACATGTCGTTATTTTGCTGTTTAATTTGAAGCTACAAATCGCCAGATCCTAATGTGCTGACAGAGTGGTTAGCAGAAAAGGAGAATAAGTCAAAGAAAGACATCTGTGAACCCCAGGGGCTCCAGCTCATTCAACACTGGGTAGCTTTTAAACAAAATCAGAAACATCCCTTGTTTTGACCTAATGTAACTATAATTTTAAGATATTTATATTTTAGTGCACTAAATTAAAATAATTCTGGATTCAGATCAGTGTCCCTTTTCATTACAAAGAAAATATTAATTATATAGAAAACTGATTATAATTTATTTGTAACTACATAATATATAAAGAAAGGCACTTAATTGAATGCTAAAGTAAAATTAGAGAAGAGTTTTGGGGGAAAAGGAAATCTGCATTTTTAAAAATACATATTTTTAAAAATTATACAGAAATTTTTGCTATGACTTCATTGACAAGGATGGTGAAGGTATTTTCAGTTGAGAAAAAAAAATAAAAACTTTACTCTGCTCATCTCAATGCAACTTTTCATGACATTTTAAGTTTGGTAGTTCAGATACTCACCTACAGAATCCCTTTCTGAGACATGCTAAAAAGCATCTTAGGATTAAAAGAGAATAAATGCTGAAAGCATTTACAGAAGAACTATATCTAAGGAGGGTACATCAAAAGAAAACTCTGACAAGAATCTCAAATGACTGCCCGTGCTGTAAGCAGAGAAAATATTCCTACCTACACGAACGCAGCTGGAAACCAACTCAATATACACTTTACAGCATTTTCATGGAGGGATGCAAAATGATACCTGCCAGTCTCAGAGAAGCATCTGGAGGAAGATCAGACACATATAAGTGGGGGAAATCTTCACACTGATATTTTGAGGACATCTAAGAGGTTAGTGTGATTTCCTTGTGCTGATGCAGAAGTGCTATATACAATCTGGCAATAGCCTCAGTGGCAAGATAGACCCCATGTGTTGGACTCAGGCTAGACCAAAAGCAAAAAGACACTATTTCTAAAAAAAGAAGTGACTGGCTGAATAGCAATCTGCTGAAGTCTAAGGATATACTCATTTGACTGATGTCTCAGAAGAAACAAACAATTCATTTTTTCTGGCACAGGAAGCAGGAGCATGCTTTCTTTATGAGTAGTACTGATCTGTACCATTTACTGTTAGCTGGTACTCCACGATTACACTTAACCTAATACTGAATAATGACCACTGGAGTCAATGTAGAGTAAGTCTTCACAGGTGATACAGGGTAACTGTAGTATTTTATGACTCACATCATGTCATAGTGGCCAGGAAATAAAAAGAACACCCCACATCTCTGAATGTATTTATTGATGAAATTAGGGACAATTCAAAATTTTCTACCAGTTCTACTAATGTACACCTGCACTGTGCATTTCTCATTAGATGATGCCCTAATAACACTACAGTTAACATTACTGGCAGGCTACTAGTTCACATACTGGGGACACTGAGTTGAAATGCATGGGCAGTAGCTTATCTCAAGAGTCTGATGTATTCTGGACATAATATCTCAAAAACAAATGAGCAAACACTGACAGTAATAACAGAAAACCCTCTTGCAAATTCAGGAGCACAGACTTCCCTTAGGTCCTCCTAGAAGAACTTTTTCTATAGATTTTTTTTTTCCTATCGATTCTTCTATATTTGTGTAGAAAGAGATTATACAACTGAAAACTTCTGCGCTTATTTATATATCTGCAGACTTTTGGTCTAACCTTGTCAGCAGAATTTCTGAGAGTGTTGGAATTTTAGCCAATGTATCAATACAGTGATGTGGAAAACAGATAAAGAACATGTTCCCAAATCTTTCTACCATCTGAGTTCTACTAATGCCATTATCCTAATTTCCTGACTTGAAAATAAGGTTTTAAATTATATAATGCTCCTTTTGATAATAGCAATGAGAAAAGTATAAAAAACTGTCAGAATGATGGCTGTTGTTATGGTAATTTTTTGCATCACCCCCATTGCATTGTTAAAAAAAACCCTTGAAAGACACAGCTACTTCTTCAAAGAGTTTTCAGCTTGAGGAACTGAACAAATGTGAGAGGAGAGAAATAAGGACAGAAAGGTCATAACTATAAATACAAACAATAAAATTTATCCTTGGCCTCTAGCTAGCTTGCTTGTTTTTTAAAATAGGTGAACTGTGAAGCAGTACAACCAGGGGAAAATCACCAAGGAAAAATGTGTCTGGAGGATCTGGAAGAGCATGAGCTATGGCTCGATGCTGTAGAAAACAGGGTAAGTTATATAAAAATGGCATTGGTGATTCGTAAAGAAGACGGTATCAGCAGAAATATAGCTTGGATGGTCTTAGGATATATGTTGTGTGTTACTTTGAGAAAGAACTCAAGTGAGGGCCAGAGTAAAGGAACTCCTGAAATTCAAATGTGACATCACAAGGTCTGGGTAAGAATTTTGAGAGAATAAAGACAGAGGTCAGATTCTATGAAGAGCCAGGTGGAACAAAAGAAAATTCTGGACCTGAGTTCAGTATGTGAAGAAAGAGAAAAGGAAATGTAGTAGGACTGCTGGTGGTGGCACAAGAAAGGCAGTGCCATTTTTAGCAGTTGCTGGGTTTATGGAGGAAGGGTTCAAAAATTAGTAAAACTGTGAGAGGATACATTGATGTGTGCAT